AAAAATATTTTTTAATTAATTTTTTAATATCAATTCAAAATCAAATAGTTATTAAATAAAATTATAAATTAAACTAATTTAATTAATTTTTAATTATTTTATTTAATTTAATTTAATTAATAACAATTTTAATCAATTTTTAATTAAAGTGGTTTGGATTGGTAGGATATCAACACCCTACCATCGACCAAATCAGCTTGGAAGCCTTCCACGCCGAGCTGCTCTTGCTCCTGAGATTACCGACTCATCTCGGTATCTTATTTGGTCAACTAAACAGGGCTTGGATTTCCGCATAAGACCCAGCTCCATCCCAACCCCCTGTTTCATGCAGTTTCTTGGAAAATTTGTAATCCCTGTTCTTTTCCTATATATATCCAAAACCTTTCCGTTTAGAAAATCTCTACTCAGTAAAAAAATATAATTATTTTCGAGAAGTTGATAGGCAGAATCACAAATGGGGAACTGTATAGGGCATGGAAAATCATCGGCGGTTTGGGCCGGTGAGGACTGGGGGTCCTTGACGCCGAATCACCCGGAGAATGATGACGGAGATCCGGAGGGAACAAGGCTTCTGGGTCGTTCATCATCTACTAGGGAGGTGAAGATTACTATTTCAAAGAAGGAGCTTGAGGAGTTGATGAAGAAGGTGAACATGCAGGGTTTGTCTCTGGAGGAAGTGCTGGGAAGGATGGTCAGAGAAGGCAGTGGACATGCGGGGGAGTTTCCGGAGCAGCACCGGCATTGGAAGCCTGAGTTGCAGAGCATTCCGGAGGTGGACTGATTCTCATTCGACGAATCTCGGTTTTCCTTGTACGTAGAAAATTGGTTATAAAAAGGTGTTTTTTTGTAGTACTGCATCAACAGCAAAACACTAACCATCGAGATAAGGAGGCATCTCCATTCAATGGTTGGTGTTTTACGGTTACATGCAGTACAAATTAAAAAACATCAGATTCAATTGGTTTTATTAAATTGTGGATATGTAGATATGTTCTGGCTTTTTGTTAAAAGATGTATTTTGGACGAAGGGGTTGTTGTTCATGCTGGTCTGGACATGAAATCTATATTTACCTCTCTTTCTTCTTCTTCTCCTTGAGAAATTCTTCCATCCAGGATTCCATGTTTTCTTGTGAGGAATGAGTAATAAGTGTTACCTCTATTTAGAATTGAAATTATTCATTTATTATTTGAGGAATCAATAATAAGTGTAATCCCTATTTAGAATTGAAAATATTAATTTATTATTATTATCTATTGATTAATTTATTTATTACTATTTATTAATTAATATGGTGCAAGTGGAGGCAATTGGATGTGTGATTTGTTTGAGAGAAATGGAACAAATAGGAAAATGTTGGAATCCTCCTCCTTCCCCTCCCTCTTCCTCCTCTCTTTTTTTTACTCTTTATTTTTTTATAACTAAATAAAATAATTTTTTGCTTTCTTTTTCACTCCCCTCAAACCAAACATGCTTTTAGTTATTTATCACAACTTTATCCAACTGAATACTGCTAATTGTAAGGAAGAACTTTTCATTCTTCATTTTTTTTTTCCTTTATTAATGACAATGAGAATTTCATGGGCTAAAAGCCATATTCACAATTGTATAGATCCCATGGGAGCAAAGATAACTGAGAAAAGAAAAAAAAAAAAACTCTTTCCATAAGAAATTAGGTTAAATTTCCTTTTCGGTCAACAAGGTACTGGCCCAGCAACAATTTAGTTAAATTTTTTTAATCTTTTTTCAATTCAAATCCAAAATTAAAAGATAGGGTTATAAACGAATCAAACTCTAGTATATATCAAACTCAAAATAATTTAGATGTTTGTGCTTGTTTCCTATAATATAAAGAATCTTTTATCAAATCGTAATTCAATCATAGCCCACTAAACCATCAAATTCTGTTTAGTTTTAGCTTTATGTTTTTAGTTTAAAATATGTAATAATTGTAAGATTACCCTTTGAGCCTTATTATATATTTGTGTTATATTAGTAAATTATCAGAGAATAATATTAACGATCTATTGGTTTAAGTGAAATGAGCTCGGTTCCCTTTAAATGAAATATTTAGTTTAAGTTTTGTGAATGGAGAATATACTTGATTTACCTAAATAAGATAATTTGATTTTAGCTATTGGTTTTTCAAAATATTTATTAAAAAGTAGTATTTTTGAATTCTAGATTGATACAAATTGTTAACAAATTAATAATATATTTTTTAATGATAAACTAAGTACATGCGAGTTTACATGTGTGTCTGAGCTCATGAACTATCTTACTTCTTTTTTTTTAATAATTTTTTGATATATGGTAATCACATTGAATTTCGACTAATTTAAAATCAAATTGCGTCAGACTCCATTAGGAGGAAACTCTCCTATCGCTTGCTTCTCCATTTAAAAGATTCAAAGTCAAAATCTTATTTAAGAAAAATTGAATTCTTTCCATTTAAACCAATAAGTTGTTAGTATAAACTACCTTGCTTGCTAATAGTCTTAATTGAAGATAAATTTTATGGACTAGATTGGGAGTACGTGGATTTTACGGCCTAAAACATTACAACACTCAAAATTGAATGACCAAAAAAAAGGGAACATAGCCTACCCCATGTAGAAAGAAAATTGAATATATAAAATCTATTGATCCGAATAGAATGAGTTTATTTCCTCTTAAATAATTTCTTGAATTCGAATTTTGTGAATGAAGAAACATGTACCGAAAGAGTTTCTTCTTTTTAGGGTCCAATGTAGTTTGATTACGGATTAATCGGGTTTAAATTTGATTATTGAATGTCGCGAAAGATTAATTAAAAAAAATTGAATGTTTTCTCTGGGTCTGGACTCTAAAGATCCGAACCCAAGATATTCTCACATGAGCCAATGGAGCTCCTCTTCTGGACCAGTCTAATCTGTAGCAGCCTTCAAAAAAAGCCCAAGGAAGATCACCAGAAATATTAAATCCAGGCAACCGACGACCGCCACGTGCCGCCGGAGCCATTCACACGTGTGGGAAATATGGCCCCTCGAACGATTTCAGGGAGCCCAAACAGAGGGGCAGTGTGAACTGGAAGCAGTGGGTGAGAAAAGCAATTGATGGCGTTAATGCAGATGCAGGAGTGCCGTTGCATCTGTGGGGTCTACGGCTCTCTCACTCTCTCCTCCTCAGTACAGCTATTACTGTGGCTGTTTTTAGTCCCCACCCACTTTGAAGCTCATTCATGGCTTCTCTGTTTAATTCTCTATTTCTTCCCACCGGTTTCCCATCTCCATCGCCTCAACTTGCTAGCCATTCTGTGGTTTTCCTGGTTTTCTAGGATTTTTGTTTTGTCAAAGGTGGAGAGATGAGTGAAGGTGTGTCTCCTCTATATCCCAGTGGTGGGATGGTACTTCTGGAAGTGTTTCTGTTGTTTCTATGTGAGTATTGGATCATCATTTCGTGATTTATTTTCTGGGTTTTGTTTGTTTTAGCTTGATTTCTGAGTTTTATGATCTGGGTCTTTTGAAATTTGTTTGGAAGTAATGGACTTGGGATTTTGTTAATTTGGTTTCTCTGTTTAATTTATCTTTGGGGAGAAAGGAACCTATGAAATATTTAATTTTTAGAAAGTAACGCATTGGCCGTTTACTTGGTCACCCCCATGACTCATTACTCCTCAGAATTATTTGCATTTAATCTTATTTTAATTTGGCTATGTGAATGTGATAGCTTAAATGCTTCATTATATTATTACTGTCTGTTCTTTATGATCAATATAATGTAGTCTTTTAGGTTTATTAGAGTTTGGACCCTCTTTTATGTCCATTAACCAGGAAGTTGAAAGTGGGGATGGGAAGGGATAAAATTTTACTTGTATTGGCATTTAGTCGGTATAAGTTAATTACTTATTGAAATTTTGATTTGTAGCTTTAGTTTCCATTTGGGTGGCAATGATTACCATTTTAAATGTTTTCACATGAATAGGTGTTATAGTCTGTCTGCAGTTTGCCCTTTCTATTCTGCAGTGACAACTTTTCTTACAAATCAGGCTGAACTGGTTTTAGTGAAATTGGTGCTGAGAGGAGGTCACAATTTGAACCTGTCTGAAAGAATTCCTATTTCCTATTATGGTGTTCAAGTAGAGCAACATGAGAAGGGGGAAAAGAGAGAGAGAGAGAGAGAGAGAGAGAGAGAGAGAGAGAGAGATGGTCATCTAAAAGCAGCAGTTTTTCTAATATTTTAACAAATTTTACATAGTGTTTGTAGCAATCAGGATAGATCATCTTATGTTTTTGATGATTTTAAGTATGGCAACTATTTTTATGTGAACCATTAATGGAAAATTTTTACACAAGAAAATTTATGCTTATGAGTGGAATATGTCCATCCCATCAATCAGTGCTTTTGTTTCAGGTTTCCATGGATCTTTATCCAGCCCACTAAATCATCTTGGAGGATATAGGTTAACTGGCAGCAAGGGAAATCCTCTCTTACCTGAGATTTCCCCAGCTGCAACTCCTCAGCCCTTTCTTCCCATTCTTGCACCATCACCGTTGGTACCCTTCACAAACACCACTATCCCAAAATTATCAGGTTTGTTTTCCATATTCTTTTATGTTAAATCATCAAAAAGCTACTTGGATTCAAATTTCCAATTACATGGTACTCTCACTGATCTTTTCTTTACTTTCACCCTTTTTAAAAGGAATCTGTATGTTGAACTTCACTGCTGTGGAGAGTTTGATGAGCATGACTTCAATAGATTGCTTTGCTGATTTTGCCCCACTATTGGCACATGTAATATGCTGTCCACAGCTATTGGCTACTCTTGTGATTCTTATTGGTCAATCCAGTAAAGATACCGGCATGCTTGCTCTAAATGCGACGCTTGCAAAGCCATGCCTGTCAGACATCGAGAAAGTCTTAGCAGGACAGGGTGCAAGTGATAGCCTTAGGCAGATTTGCTCCATTCATTCATCAAACCTCACTGCAGCATCTTGCCCCGTGAAAGATGTTGATGAGTTTGAGAGCACTGTGGATTCTTCTAAGCTTCTTGATGCATGTGAAAAGATTGATCCTGTGAAGGAATGTTGTGACCAAGTTTGTCAAAATGCCATATCAGAAGCTGCAAACATAATTGCTCAGAAAACTTCTACTCTTTTGAGCATGGATGGGCCCCATGTTTTACCTGAGTACTCAACCAGGATTAATGATTGCAAAGTAATTGTCCTCCGGTGGCTGGCGAGTAAGCTTGATCCATCTGGCGCAAAGGAAGTTCTTAGAGGACTAACAAATTGCAATGTTAACAATGGTGAGTTAGAACTGAAGTATGGAGGCAAAATTTAGCCTTTGATTCAAAAGGGTTATTAGTACTAACATATCAAGAATAGGGGATGTTGTAGTGCTTTCAGTCCAGCAATCCTCTACCTTCTCTTACTTAGGTCTTAGGTCTTAACCTTAAAAAGAATGGATGCCAAAGAGAATTAATGAGTATACCATATGCCAAATTGCAGACATTCCTTTAATTATTTCAATCTGTCTGCTTCTATAAATGTTTACACACAAGTTGCTTATCATCTCAAGTTTCAGTCTTCTCTTATTGACAGCAATGATAAATCTCAGTTGTATCGATTTCTACAGATTATAGATGGTGATGCCATTCTGTGGCCAACTTCTCTGATTTGTTGTTTCTAATTTTTGCCCCTTTTTTTCTCTTGCTTCAGTTTGTCCTCTTGTCTTCCCCAACAAGAGGCATGTTGCAAAAAGCTGTGGAAATGGGATTCGCAATGAAACAGCTTGCTGCAATTCCATGGATAGCTATTTGTCCCACTTGCAAAAGCAGACGCTTGTCACTAATTTGCAAGCTTTGGATTGTGCTACATCACTAGGAATTAAGCTACAGAAATCGAATATCACCAGAAATGTTTACAACCTTTGTCATATAAGTCTGAAGGATTTCTCCCTCCAAGGTTGGTGTGTTGCCTCATATACCTTTGAGGAGCAAAATAAACTGTTATTCCTTTTTCAAGTTAATACTGGTACTAATACTCAGCTCTCATTGTGATCCATATGTTGCTGGATTCCACTACTTATATGCATCAGTTGGAAATCAAGGTAAGATCCATTCACAAGGATCCACTAATTTGGTGTCTGCATAAATTGTATTCACTGTCTTGGAGTTTCTTCATATTTTTGTGTCTGTTAAATTATACATGATCTCTATTGTTATGACATCTGCTTCTCTTGAAGGTGTTGCACCTGACTTTCTGTCTTCCATTCATTTCTTGTAGTATCTGGATGCCTCCTGCCAAGCTCGCCATCTGATGCAACACTAGACAAGTCTACAGGAATAAGTTTCATTTGTGATCTTAATGATAATATTCCGGCTCCATGGCCTTCTATGACTCAGTTGCCAGCATCATCGTGCAACAAAAGTATGTTGAACTTGTTACTAGTTTACACGTTGGCACGTTGCATAGTTGCACTGTGTTGGAAAACCATACACACTAACACATTAATCTGTTTCTCTCTGTCATATTATATTGATTTTAACATGTACTTCCAAATTGCAGCTGTCAGAATTCCAGCACTTCCTGCAGCAACTTCTGGTCATATTGGTAAAAGACCTTTTTACTTTTCATATTTTTCTTTCCTTTTGATAACTCAATGCTGAACCATTGGAAGGAGAGGAATCTAAGGGCCAGTGCAATGGTCGAAACTCTAAACATTAAATTGATATTTTCTCATTGGTTTGAGACAGTCTCAAGACAAACCTAACACTCAAGCCTAATGTGAAGAATCTTAACCCAAACTGAGCAATATTTAAGTAGTGGATTTAGATCTAAATATGGAAGAAAACTAATTTGTGATTCCAATATCTGACTACCAATTCTCTGGGATAACAGGTGTATACAGTGAATATGCAATGCTTTTTCTGCATGTTGCCTTGGCAGTAGTTTTCATGGCGATCCTATAGTTCTAGTTTGAGCTGCTTTTGCTTTGGTACTCCTCCAAGAACAAGTACAATGAGGATAACCTGATGAAGCCATGTCTAGACAACTTTGAATCATCACTGAGACCTAACCCTTCTTTTCGTCCCATGTTCAATTTACAATGGCTTTTGCAACTGAGGTGGATTCAAGCTCGCCTTTGGAATCATATTAATTCATAATTCTTATTTCTTGCATGCTTGGTGTAATAAATATTTTGTAAAAGTATGGATAGATGAAGAGAAATATTGTTGTAGAAGTATGCATTTGACTATACCTTGTAAATTGTTTATTTGTCTAAAAATGGAATGCCCTATTTAAACAAGGGAGATGTCTCTATTTCATTCAAGTTCAGAAGAGTGTATTATGTTTCTCAGCAAATTCACAACCTGATGCATGGTGCCTCATTTCCAATGCATAGCAAGCAGAAACAAAATTTCAAAGGTTCTGAAGGACTCCCTGGTGCAGATAAGATAATATAGGTTTTCCATGCCGTTCTGATTTAATGCCATTTTTTATTGCCAAGGAATAATCTTATAAAGTTCAAATCGAATTTTTCTATCAGGACAAAAACTTCAGTATTGGTATTTCAATTTTCAAGAGATTGGAAATAGACAATCCATTGCCGTTTTAATTTAATGCCATTTTTTATTGCTAAAGATTGATCTTTTACTTGGAGAGTTCAAATAAAATTTCGCTTTCAGGTCAGCTCCATTGATAGGATATTCCAAGAGATTGGAACCAGACAAGAACTAGGAATAGTCCTGCTGAGGAAGCAGCTGAAAATATCAACTACCAGTCGTCATTCCTTTTATAGTTTTTCTTTTACAAAAAGGCTCACTGAAGATTTTGATTAATATAAAGAACTCCACATCAATTTTTTTTTTTTTTTTGTGGGAGTGAGTAAGTTTGGATCTGTGAGACTTCTTTCTGTTAGGAAAGGTGTGCCCGGCTGAGGTTTTCTTAGGATTTAGTCCTTTAGTTTCGATAAAATTTTTTAGGATACTTCCACATGTCCTAATCAATATAAGACTCAATTCTTGGTATTAACATTTGCCCAAGGAAGAAATTTGTATGTAGGTTTTGAATTATTATTCATGAAGTTGTGAATATTTAAGCACAATAGGAACTTATTCATTCTTTTTAATTTTAGGAATCTGAGAGGGAGATGGCTTCGATCGAAAACGCAGAATACCATGGAGAAACTGAAGGGGGACAACCTATGTTGCCATACAAATCATCCTCACCGGAGCCATTGAGTTCCATGCTTGAGGATACTCTTTCTGATGACAGCTTGCCATACTTCAAGCGTCTCAGGAGTGCTACATGGATCGAACTCAATATCCTCTTCCGCCTTGCAGCGCCCGCTGTTGTTGTTTACTTGCTTAACAATGTCACCTCCATGTCCACCCAAATCATGTGCGGTCATCTGGGCAATCTTGAGCTTGCTGCTGCATCTCTTGGTAACAATGGGATCCAGATTTTCGCTTATGGACTCATGGTAGGGCATCTCTCCTTTATACACAAGATCAAGTAGAGGCTTTCAGAATTCTGATAGTAACATGTTCTATGAGCTGTGCGAAAAAAAAAAAAACCACTTTCCATGAGATTACTGACTGAGATAAGTTGTATGTGCCTGCAGTTAGGGATGGGAAGTGCAGTGGAGACGCTGTGTGGTCAGGCTTATGGAGCTCATAAGTATGAGATGCTAGGGATTTATGTCCAAAGGTCAACCATCCTCCTCATGGCAACTGGGATCCCACTTACTGTCATCTATGTATTCTGCAAACAACTCTTGCTCTTATTAGGTGAATCAGAGTCCATTGCATCTTCAGCTGCACTGTTTGTTTATGGTCTCATTCCACAAATCTTTGCCTACGCTGCCAATTTTCCTATCCAAAAGTTCCTTCAAGCTCAAAGCATTGTGTTCCCTAGTGCATATATATCAGCAGCTACATTTACCATGCATCTGTTGCTAAGTTGGGTTGCAATATTCAAGTTGGGATGGGGGTTACTTGGTGCTGCCTTGGTGTTGAGCTTCTCGTGGTGGGTCATAGTTGTGGCTCAGTTTGTGTACATTTTGGTCAGCAAAAAGTGCAAGCGCACATGGCAAGGGTTTAGCCTCCAGGCCTTCTCAGGGCTATGGGAGTTCTTGAAGCTATCCATTTCTTCTGCCGTAATGCTGTGCCTGGAGACTTGGTACTATCAGATTCTAGTACTGATTGCTGGGTTGCTCAAAAATGCTGAAATTGTCTTGGATGCTCTTTCCATCTGGTAAGCTCCAGAGCTACCAAATAATTTGCTTCTTAACCATGTTTTAATATTGTTGCAAAATGGGATTGTTTAACCTTTTGGCTATGGCACTAATTGAGGGTCCTTTTTTCATGACAATCAATCTTTTGGGGTCACTTTAGTATTCATTTTAAGATGAATCAATAGCAACGGATGTTCTAGGCCTTAGGACATTGAATGGCAAACCTAAACCCAACTGTCCTATAGATGGTTGACAGTGAGTACCGTGAAAGGTCCAACTCGGACTACAACTCAAACAACTAGTCTTTTCTGTATTTTCCTTGTGAATGTACGATTGTACGCTCAGGATTTTTCATTTAACTATATGAAAATAATGTCATAATCATATGTTCTGTGCCTGACCATCTCATGAATTTATGTTCTCATGACAGTTATTTTTAATGAGTTGATTAATGTTAAATCTGCAGCATGACAATATGGGGATGGGTGTACATGATTGCGGTGGGTTTCAATGCAGCTGCTAGGTAATCGGTTCTTGTTGTTTGTTCGGTTTTGATGCAGTCCCTGGTTAAATTGCATTCTTTTTCTAATGACCAGAACCTGATAACTGAATGAAATAACAGTGTGAGGGTCAGCAATGAGCTGGGGGCAGGGCATCCCAAATCAGCATCATTTGCTGTTGTGGTGGTAACATTAAGCTCTTTATTCATTGCCCTGATCTTCGCCATTCTCGTGCTTGTTTTGCGCCATGTCATAAGCTATGCCTTCACAAGTGGTTCAACCGTTGCTGATGCAGTCTCAGAACTGGCTCCCTATCTCGCCATCTCCATCCTCCTGAGTGGTGTTCAACCCGTTTTGTCTGGTAACATTTTCTTTGTCCTAAACTCCTTCATTAAAACTAGTACCAACGCAAACAATCATGGTTCTAGCTTGGAAACATTTGAAAGCATGGAATGTTAGCTGAATATGGTATAAGAGTTATGAACTGTGCAATTTGGATGATACTAAACTACATAAGAAAAAATTTTAAAGTGAAAAGTTTCAATATTAAATGATTTATCTTTTATTTAGAACCATTTAAATTAAATAATAATTTTTTTATTGATAATAGAATTGTAATATAATTTAATAATTTATTGATTTGAATAAAATGAATTTTATTTTTTTAAAATAAAATTTTAAGTTTGGTCATTGTAAATAAAAAATATACTTTGAAAAATCGTTTTTTTATTAAATTTAATTCAATTTAAATATAAATTAATTAAAATTTAATGTAATTTTTAAATAATAAAAAATTTAATAAAAAAATAATTGTAATATATTACCTCCACGTCGAGCTACTTATGACAGCTTGTCCTGGGTTGTTGTTGGATTCAGTGACATATTGTCAATTCACAACAACAAGACAAATAAAATTATTAACCAAATTGCTTACAGAAGGCGACTATACACATCAAAGACTCATTTCAGCTGGTAATTTTGCTACAATTATTCTAGTCGGACGGTAATTTTGCTACAATCATTCTAGTCGTTTTCTTCCAGTGACATCATTAGATATGCAATGCATGATTCATGCATCATTAGAGTGGAACTAACAGTCAAAAGCGTATATATGTACCCTTGACTTAAAATTAGAAACCATATATAAATGCATGGACCATCTGTTAAACATCTCTATCTAGTCTCTTAGTACGTTTGCCAGCTGCTGTGCGGGGTTTTCATAATTGAAAGAAGACAAATTCATGGTGATTTTTCTGAAGGTGTGGCTGTGGGATGTGGATGGCAAACATTTGTTGCTTATGTTAACGTTGGCTGCTATTACTTCATCGGCATCCCATTGGGTTGCGTTCTTGGATTCAAGTTTGACCTTGGTGCAAAGGTGCAAAAGAATGAAAACAACAGTAAAAGAATTCTTTTTGGTTGTTATCCATATAGGCCTAATCTGTTCTTGTTTTCTGGCGTAGGGAATTTGGTCGGGAATGCTTGGTGGAACTGTTGTGCAGACTCTTATCTTATTGTATGTCACTTTCCGCACCGATTGGGTTCAAGAGGTACACGACATTCCTTTTTTTGTCACGTTCTAGTTCGATTATTACTTATTTAAAAGTTAAAACTTTCCATGTGAACCTGCATTAAAAAATAAAAGAAGAAAAGTTTTTGACAAGCGCGGATGGATTATTTTATTAAGTTCAAAAATTTTAGTTTTTTATTTTATATTATAATATTTTTAATTTTTATTTTATTAAATTTATAAGTTTTAATCCCGTACCTTATATTATAATACTTTTAATTCATTATCTACTAAAGTTAAAGAACATAACCCTTATTTCATAATATTTTGTTAGTTTTATTAGCTGATTATTAACTCAATTAACTGATTGTTAGTTGATTATTAGTTAACTGTTAGTTTACAAGAATCATTTTTCAACTAATAAAATTAAGAGAATTAATATTATAATATTTCATTGATTTTGTTAACTGACTATTAGTTTATTGTTAATTGATAAAAACTTATTTTTAGTTAATAGAGTTAACAGTCAATATAAAGTGAGAGTTATTTTCTTTGATTTTAATAGGTGAAGAGTTAAAATCTATAAATTTTAAAAAATAAGGGATTGAAAGTGTGATATAAAAAGTTAAAATCTTCAAACTTGATAAAATGAAATATTAAAAATAAGTTTTTGTTGATAAAGCAATTGGCTGCTCCCGCATGAGGCTTTTCATTGGACTTGATTTAAATTTTTTTTAAATACTATTAATATGTAATTTTGTTTAAAAAATTGTTTAAATATTTTTAATAAATTATTATTTTGTATTCATTTGCTAAATTTTATTAATTTTATAAACATTCTTGCACTTTTTTTTTAACGAAACAATCCCTATTACTATAATTGGGTCTATGTGAATTTTATTCGTTGCGTGCAACACACAATGAAATCTAGTTTCGGAGACGAAGTCAAGAACTAGTGCTGAAAATTAATTTATGAGAATATGAAAAATCAAAATATTTTAATAATTAAATTATTAAGATTTTTTATAAAATTATTTAAATACTTTTAATAAATCAACATATAAAAAAAAGATTAATTAATAATATTTAAATATTTTTAATGACATCTTAATTTTTATTTTTCTCTTAATTTAGTGTCTTTTTTTTTTTCTCCTTCTCTTTTTTATTTTTG